CGGCGCCGCCGGCAGCCCGGCAGTGCTGCGAGAGGCCGTGGAGGCCGTAGTGAGGAGCTTCGCCAAGCACACGCAGGGCTATGGCCGAGGTGAGTCTGCGGGTCTGGCCTCCTGTGCGACACCCTCTGAAAGGGAGCCTTGCTCCCACAGTCCTCCGGATCGCTTTTCCTGGCGTGGAGCCCTCACTTGCATTTCCTTTTGGGGAGTTTCCTTCTGGGCTACGCATACGCACAGACGCACACACTCATACACACGTTTAAGCCTCCTACCTCTCCTTCCCTTTACTGAGTTATTAATATATCCTCCAGGGACCCTTTTTCAGATACAATCCTCTTTTCTTCCTAAGCTTTTCTCCTTTAGAAATGGAATTCCTCCTCCAGCTTAATACCTTAACATCTCTCTGCCTTTGAGAACCAGTCCCCATTGTGTGAGATCCTGTCTTTTATTTCAGATCCAATTTCTCATCCACACCCTCTCAATCTTTCCTCTGTGATCTCTGCAATTCTGGACTCCCCTGTTAATTTGCTCCAGCTCCTTAACCTTGACTTTTAAATTCTTTACTTACCTTCACTCTGAAATTTCAGTGCAACTTCAGATTTACTGGGGAACTAGGTAGTGCCTTCACAAGTCACTTATAGTAATTGTGCATTTAAATCCGGACCTGTACTACTGAGCTCACACCAGCTTCCTGTGGCTTAGCACCTTACTTTGGTATCTTGTTTAGTATGGAGACTCACAGCTCCAGCCTTTCTGTCTGGCTCTGTTTTCCTGGCCCTTGCCCAGGATCTGAGGATAAATCCCAGGCCTTGGCTCTTTCAATGTTAAATTCTGTGGAAATGAGCCAGGTTAGAAACTCTATTTCAGTTAGAAAACTTCGTCTTAAAGATGTCTAATTTCTTTAAAGAGGGATGTGAGGGTTTTCTTTGTTGTTTTTGTTTAACTAGTGTAGTTTCCTATCTGAATTTGAGTTCCAGATTTATAGTGTAAGTAATAAGGAATATATAGTGAAGGGTGTGGAATACAGAATTTAAGTCTGGAATTTACAAGACATCCCTTCTGTCTCCTTGGCCAGGTCCTGCTTGACCTGGAAGTGACTATATTTTTAACTTTCTGGTTTAACAATAATGCAGAGAAAAGTTACAGGGCTTTTCTGTAGATTTTCTTTTTTTAAGAAAGTTTAGTGAAAAGAGCACACACAGGGTTTGGAGATCTTTGTCACTTACCAGCCAAATCGTTGGGAAAGGGACTTAATCTCACTGAGCTTCAGTTTCTTCAAGGATTACAATATGGATTAACTGAGACATTGCAAATGACATGTAACCTAAAAATGATTATTATCTCAAATGCGTTGGTTCATAGTTCCTCAAGTAGAACATGCTTCACTTTTTCCCACTCTTAAATCCTGATAATGTAAACCCAAAAATTCCTCTGAAAAGAGATTTTTAGAGCCATTTTGCTATATGTGCCTATGATTCATTTATCTTCAATTTCCCTTTGTTCTTCATACAATTTGAACTCCTGTTATAAGACAGGAACTCTGCTAGGTGCTGGGGATACAAATGGATGAATCCGAAACTCATAAGGACATATTATTTTTCCAATGTAATCCCAAGATTTAACAAGCTATGTGATGGAACTGCTATTAGCTACTATCTTGCTGCTTCAAGTCTCTAAGTCAAGATCAAGGGAAGGTCTTTGCCTCTGGGCACAGGAGTAGCCTAGAGTGGTCACACTAAATCTGAAGCCTTCCTCTTGGAAACTTATAGGCATTTATTAAAATTGTAGAGGAGTACACCCTTTTTCTTGTCTGTGTTACCTGGAGAGCCTCTGCTTTGGCTCCTAAACTGGGCATCCTGTAAAAACTTTCATTTCCTTAGCGAGGATGAGGGAACAAGGGGATTATGCTGACAAAGGGCAATTAGTCAGGCTTCAGACTCTGTGGTGATTTTCTTTCCTATCTCCCCACCTCCCATTGCAATCTTTCTCATTATTCTTGAGTTTCTCATTTCCAGTCTGGGTGTCCAGCCAGTACTTTAGGAGAATCTGGCAGATAGTTCAGCTTCAGGCAAGCAGAATCTCTGCCCATTTGGCTCAGAAGTCCTTTACCACATGGAATCACTTATTCTGCTTCAATTCTTAGACAAAGCTGCCACTAGCATGTACTCACATACCTTTGTGACTGATGGCATGGTATTTGGGGGAATGGATGTATTCCCCTGAATACAATTTACTTTAGCCTCTGCCTAGACAATTCATTCCCTCATCCAGCAATGCTTTACCGCATCATCTTCAATTAACATCCTTCATCTTCTTCCTGAATGCTCCAAATTCACCTTTTCCAGCCAGTCTTTAGATCTACCTTCACCCATGTGGAGTATCAGTATGTATGTATGTATGTATGTATGTATGTATGTATTTTTAAAAACTTTCCTGTCCTTTATCTGCCTCCCTCACCCACTTACCCAAGATACACACATAGCTCAGTATTCTGTAGGATCTTGATAAGTTTGTAGTGCATGGGATTTGTAATCAGAGGACCTAGCCCTGTTAAAAAGTTGGCCGTATGATCTTGGAGAAGTTGCTTAATCTCTCTATGCCTCATCTGTTCTCTTCATTCATTTAACAAATATTTATTGATCACCAGATGCAGTGGTGGACAAGGCAGATATTTAGTCCCTATCTTGATGGAGCTCACAGTTCATACTACAGAGCATGTATAAAGATTAATGGTGTAATAAAGCAGGCCAGCCCAATACAAAGAGGGTTGACTTTGGAGCCAAACATTGTTTCTAAATCCTAGTTCTGCCACTTCTGGCCTGTTCCTTAACTTGCTTACTTTTTGTAAAATGGGTATTATAATACTTATCCTGATAGTTTTATGTGGATTAAATGAGACAACGAATATAAAGCATGCAGCACATGGTACTTAGTGTGGTTGCTATTATTGTGCATTTGGAAATGCTTTGGAAACTGCAAATGATATGTATTGTTCTGCATTGCCATTTCCTTTGCCCCCTTTTTTCTATGGCATATAGTCTCTTTCTCATGTTTGACATCTGGCAATCTCTAAACAGGCAGGATCGAGTAACTCACTTGCCTTGCTCTGTAACTGCTACATTTCCCTCTTCAAACCTGTTGTTTTGGAAGTATTGCTATCCTTTTATGTTACAATATGGCTGCATGATTGGAGATTTTGCCCTGCTATTTCACTAAGTTGAACAAATGAATCTTGTGTAGTGTTTTCTATTTAGTTGTTCCTTTTCCTCAGAATCACAGACAGCTTCTTTTCTGTAAGACTGGAGTTAAATGGGTTGGGCCGAATATTTCCAATTTTTGGAAATGCTGGATTAGTCCCTATATTAGTTTCCTGTGGCTACTGTAACAAATTATCACAACTTTAGTGGCTTAAACCAACAGAAATTTGTTCTTTCATAGTTCTGGAGGCCAGAAGTCCAAAATCAGTATTACTGGGCCAAAATCAAGGTGTTGGCAGGGCCGTGTTCCCTCCAAAAGCTCTAGGGGAGAATTCATTCTTTGCCTCTTCCAGCTTCTGGTGGCTGCTGACATTGGTTTATTACTTGGTTTATTGCTGTATCACTATAATCTCTACCTCTGTGACTCCTCCTCTTCATCAAATATGCCTCTTTTTTTTTTTTTTTTTTTGAAGAGATGGGATCTCGCTGTGTTGCCTAGGCTGGACTGTAGTGGTGCAATCATAGCTCACTGCAGCCTGGAACTGCTGGGCTCCAGTGATCCTCCCACCTGCCTCAGCCTCCCAAGTAGCTAGGACTACAGGTGCATGTCACCACACCTGGCTGATTTTAAAAAATTTTTTGTAGAAACAAGATCCCACGATGTTGCCCAGGCTGGTCTTGAACTCCTGGCCTCAAGTGATCATCCTGCTTTGGCCTCCCAAAGTGCTGGAATTATAGGCATGAGTCAATGTGCCCATCCTGCCTCCCTCTTATAAGGACACTTGTGAATGCACTTAGGGCCCACCTATATAATCTAGGTAATTTCCCCATCTCAAATCATTTAAACCCATCTGCAAAGTCTTTGCCAGATAAAGTGACATTCACAGGTTCCAAGGATTAGGACATGGACATTTTGGAAGGTGGCATCATTCAGTCTACCAGAATCCCCTCCCAAAGTCACTGTTACTTTGCAGTCTCTCCTTCCAAAGAGACTGTGCACTGTAGGCTATTTAGGGGCAGATGTACCTTCTAAACATTGAAATGGGAAATAGATGAAATATTGTTAACCACCTTCCCTATCTTCCATAAAAATGTGAATAGGGTCAGTCTATTCTCGCCATCCTATATGATCAAGGAGACTCTTTTACTCACCTCTTAATTTCATTATCTCTTTATTCCTGCTTCCCCACCACAAAGTTGTATTTATTATTATTTTTTCTTTTATTTTTGTTAATTACCTTCCTGGCAAGGTTGTATTTATCCTTATGATATAAAATTTTTACTGTAGTTTCATATATTGTTTTAATATTTTTATCCTGGCCAGGCACAATGGCTCATGCCTGTAATCCCAACATTTTGAGGCCAACTCAGGAGGATTGCTTGAACCTTAGAGTTTGAGACCAGCCTGGGCAACATAGTGAGATACTATCTCTACAAAAATTTTTAAAAATTATCCAGGCATGGTGGCATGCATCTTGTAGTCCCAGCCACTCAGGGAGCTGAGGTAGGAGGATCACTTGAACCTAGGAAGTCAAGGCTGCAGTGAGGTGTGATTGTGCCACTGAATTCTAGCCTCAGTGATAGAGTGAGACTTTGCCTCAAAAAAAAAAAAAAATGTTTTAGGTTAGGTGCAGTGGCTCACACTGTAATCCCAGCACTTTGGGAGGCCGAGGTGGGAGGATCATCTGAAGTCAGGAGTTCAAGACCAGCCTGGCCAACATGGCAAAACCCCGTCTCTACTAAAAATACAAAAATTAGCTGGGTGTGGTGGCGTGTACCTGTAATCCCAGCTACTTGGGAGGCTGAGCCAGGAGAATTGCTTGAACCTTGGAGGTGGAGGTTGCTGTGAGCCACGATCATGCTACTGCACTCCAGCCTGGGCGACAGAGCAAGAC